TTTTATTTTTATATTTTAATTTAAATTTAAATTTAAAAGAAAAATAGTTTTTTTACCCACCCGCAATCGCCCGCAAACGCAAACGCTAGCTGAAACCAGCTTTTGATTTTAAGAGGTTGGGAGCGGTTTGAAGCGATTTGTAACGGTTTTTGTGATTGTTGCAAAACGCTAGTAACCGCCATCAACCGCAAAAGCTGCGTTTGCGGATGGTAGCGGGGAAACCAGTCGGACCCTTATTTACATGCGTTCGCGGTTTTTGGTAAAGTGCGATTTTATGTGAATAATCAAAACATGTGCACATATATCAATTAGCATTTGCGGTTTTTTATATCAAAAACCCGAAGTGGAAACCAAAAAGCTTGATTGGTGTGGTTAATGCGTTTTTGAAAAAGATTCTGAAATCCGCACCGCTTCTAAAGTCACTATTCATAGGCTAAGTTACTCCCAATTTAACTAATACTAGCTATTTTGCCCGCACTTGCGGGCTTAATAATTCTATAAACAAATATATAATCAATTTAAGTAAATTAAAATAAATTATTGTTCATACACTTAAAATATTTAATAATAATCTAAAAAAATTCTTTCTATATATAAAATGTTTCATCATCATATAAATAATTATCATTACACAAATTAAATGTGAATTCACAAATTTAAAATATTTAATAATAAATTAATATCGTTTTAGACATAACAAAAAGAAGTATAATAAAACTATCTTTGGTAATGTTATGGATAACACAATAATAAATTATCTATACATAAATTCTTTGCGAATTAATTTTTTTATAATTAAATATATTAACAAATATAATTATTTTTTAAGATTAATAAAGACTTTATATCACAATATAAAAAAATTAGATAAGGATAATTATCAAATTCATGGAATTCGTTTTTAATTAGAATTAATTATATATTAACAAATATAATTATTTTTCAAGGTTGATAAAGACTTTATAAAATAATATAATTTTTTTAAATAAGGATAATTATCAAATACAAATGAAATTCGTTTTAAATTTATAATTAATTATATATTAACACATATAATTATTTTTTGAGGTTAATAAAGACTTTATAACCCAATATAAAATAGTTTTAGATAAAGATAAATCTAAAATCATTGAAATTCGTTTTTTACTTATGTTTAGTTATATATTGAAATTTTTAATTATTCATTAAGGGTATAAACGATATTAACCGCTATAACTTTTAATGTGGGAGCTCCATTGCGAAAAATCACTTCGCAAATAATAGTAAAGATTACCAATCAAATAAAATGTCACTTTTTATTTTTATTCTACTTAGACCTTTTCAATGTATTTACCTATTTTTCTTTTAAAATAGAGAAACTCTATAGTAGGGATGAATTTGTTTCCAATATATTTTTCTATTTTTTCTCTAAAAATAAATATTCTTAATATACTCTTTTTACTTTTACAAATAATACATTTTGATTTGTCAAAATTGAGAACTAACCAATTTCACTTAACGTTTCTTAAAATTTCATTTACACTAAATATTTTTTATAAACTATTATGTAAATAAAAAATATGATTATATTTATAGAAACAATACATTTCACTAAAAATATTTATTTTTGGTTATAATTGTTAAATGACCATTTTATGAATGAAAAAATATGTTTATATTATAGAAGAATGCTATTTCTTCTTCTAAACATAGAGATGAAAATAACAAATTGTAAAATAAGAATATAGTGATTTTTACTCTATAATAGTATTTGCTCTAAATACTATTATAGAGACAAATATATAAGAGAGTTAGAGATGATCTTACAATTGAAACAGATTAAGAGCATCCCCAATGACGAATCCTTAAATGGAATTCTTAGAAAAATATTAATTTTATAATGAGTAGGTCCTATGAACAGTTAATGATTCTATCCTTAAAATCCTTATTTAAGGATTGATTCTTACACTATTCGCGGACTCTACTGTCCACGTGGCGGCCTGCGAATAGTCAATTTTTCTTTTAAGAAAAAATCTGAAATATCCTTATATAATCTGAAATATTTTTTTTTTCTTTAAAAATTTCCCTCAAGGACTTCCCATTGTGGATGCTCTAATACTTACTTTCATTTTGCTGTCAGTTTTGTTAGAGTAACATACCTTGTCATTTTTTAGATTCTTTTCTTTTTGTTCCACCATTTTATTTGCCGTTCTTTTCACTTTTAATTTTTATCTTTTACTCTGATTTATTCTAATAATTACTAAACAGACCCTTAGTTTTGTGAGTTGTGGTGTCCTTAAACAAGAGATGTGTAGAATTTTATGGAGTCCAACGAAAACCTAGATCACACAAAAATAAGAAATTTCATCCAATATACCACTTTTGATTTATTACGAAACCATGTGAGTAGCTTTGTCAGTGTCTCGTGTAATAACTATTCACTCTTTTGGTTGTGCATGTCAATCATAATTGCAAGGACACGGGAACGTCGGTAAGCAGACGCCACAGTTACGATTGTACTAACACTAGCTATTTTCACTTTATTTGTTGTCATCAACAACACGATACAAAAACCTAATTATAGGATGCAAAAGTTATCATAGGTTTTAAAGTACTATAGACAAAGCCGTCTACTTCGGAGAGAGCATATCCATTAAAAATATTGTATATAGAATCGTCTATCACTTCAAGTGTTTCAGAAAAACCTTCATCTTGAAAATGTTATTAGTCAAAAAATGTTTATCAATGTATCATATATATTATAGATAATCGATCATCATTTATAATACCATCATGTAATAAAATTAGAAATTATATGATGATGTAATTGTTATCCAATATTAAAAAAATATGTCTAATTAAAAATATTTTCAATATACTGTATTTTTTACTCTAAAATAAAGTTTGAGTAAAAATTTGTCTAATTATACTCTATATTTTATACAAATAAAATATGAGTTTACTTTATAGATAGAACTAGTTTATTTACTTTTTATTTATCACTTTATTTTCACTATAAAATAGAGAACCATTAGAATATGATTCAATTATATCATAGAGTTATTATATTTTAAATAAGAAGACTCGGGGCATTCGTATTGGGAGGTTTAGACACAAACTCCTAGGAAAAAAATATTATAATAAGTCAAAGTGTTGAACCCCAGTCTTTGCAGGTTCACGGGGAAAAGGCGTTAACATGTGAGGTTCACCACGTGTTGAGACAAGATTCGTCCTATTATTACTTTTTTTTTCTTTTTTTTTTTGAAAAACAAACAGAAAAAATAGAAAAGTGACCAGGTGGCAAACCCCACCCCGATTTGCTGATGCTGATGGCCTCAATAAACCATTTCCAATGGTCTAATATGAACTATGAAGATTGGGTTTAAAATAAAAATCTTATAAATATATGTATATCTACTCTATTAAAATAGAGTCACTATTTTTATCTACTATAAAGAAGTCATATATGATCATTTCATTTATTACTTAGTATGACATATTATATTATTTAGGTTAATCAATTAAATATATATCATATATGCTGAAAATAATAGATTTACATTCTATTTTTAGTTATAACAGAATTAGTTGAGAGTTTCTGCTGAGTTAGAGTGTTTTCGTTGGGGAGGTTCAGGCGTAAGGAGCTTCTGCAGTTTTACAGGCTTGGGAATTTGTTTCTCTTTTTTTGTTTTAATTTTGGCCTTTCTATCCTTGCACTCTTTTGAACATGAATTTCTTACTCTTTTTCCTCATCAATTGTTTTGTCCCATTTGGGTTTTCATTGATGAGGTTTTAATGAGGAGAAGTTTATGTTCTTTCCAAAAGTTGACTTGTTCCACATGGTTAACTTGAGGAGGGAGTGTTAGTGATTCTTTTTGTTTTTTTCTAGTTGGGGATTAATTTTGTAGGTTTTGCTTTCTCAAAACAGTTGCACTCGTTGTAATATGGTTTTTTTGAATTTAATTTTACATTCATTCAAAAAAAAAAAGAATTAGTTGAGAGAAAATCTAACAAAATCTTACTAAAAGTTTAAATATTTTATTATTAAATAATATAATAATGAATTTCTTAATTAATAATATCCTACTTTTATATATTAATATTAATTAAAATTTCACTATAATAACAAAAAAGAATCCTATACTATTTTATAAATCTCAATGTAAAAAATTAAAGAATATTATATATTAATAATTTTGAATAAAAACCTACACCAATTAGATTATAAATTTACACAATATATAACATAAAAATATAAATTATATATTTCAAATATTTACATTAATATTAAATAAATTTTTAAAAATGAAAAATATATCCGCACGAACGTGCGGGTAAAAACTCTAGTAATGGAGAAGGCAAACTCACAAATCGATCAAAAGCATCCAATCAACAATCACAAATTTATTGATATATTGTTGCACCAAAAAAGAGTAATACATCTCCATCTTAATTTCTCTTACTCAAAATGTAAACAACACTTCAGATCCAAGAGTCTCAAGACTCTGATTCAACGACCTTATTACTTACCCAAGGAGAACACTGGTTACAACCAGCATGACAAAACACCGAAAGGCATAGAAACATCATAGAACAAAAGTACATTATTACAAGGCTTGATTCCCTGATGCTAGGCAGAAGATCAGAGATACCCTTTTCGATACTTGTCATCGTGGTACAGTTAAAATCAAGGCTTATGGCGACAAGAAATACTCAGAGCTGGACTTGACACATTTTCTTCTCTTTCAACAGATATATATATGTGAGGCACACCAAGATGTTCGAAGACGTTGTTTCTTGGGCCAGCTGAGAGAATCCAGAGAACCATCATTATGTAAGAGTGGTGGAAGTCATTCATTTCTAAGATATACTACAAACAAGTGAAGTAACTTTATTCACACGCTTTTGTACTTTGTTTATGACAATGAGAAAAGAGTCACAAGACTTTGATTCAACTTGCCGTTTGAAACTAAACACTAGTTTCACCAAGCAAGACACACAACACAAGTACACATTATTACAAGGTCGAATTCCCTGGTGCGAACTTGAGAGAGATACTGTTCACACAGTGTCGCTCATCTGTAGGTGTAGGGAAGCCTTCGCCTTTGAAAACATGGCCGAGATGTCCTCCACAAGCTGCACAAGTGATCTCGATTCTTCTCCCATCTGGATCAGGCTGAGTTTAAACATGCAAAAACAAAAAAAAAATGTTTTCAGACTCAAAACCATGAAACTCTAATAATGATCTGTTGCATTTGAGAATCTTACAGTTCGGTTTATAGCACCGGGAAGGCCATCAAAGAAGGCAGGCCAGCCACAACCGGAATCGAATTTGGTGGCGGATTTGTATAGAGGAGTTCCACATCCTGCACAGGAATAGATTCCGTCTTCGAATAGTTTGTTGTATTCTCCTGTTCCTGGATATCTACATATTTACATGTGTAGACAGTTAGAATACTGATGCTATATATTTCGCTGAGCTCTACTTTAAGTATAGTCTTCCCTGTGGTTGAAGGATCAATGTTAGATAACCAAGGAAGATCATACCAATAAAAGAGACAAGAGTTACGTCTCAAGAGAAAACCGACCTGAGACATCTCATAAGAGTAAGGTTCATAGCAAGTAAGGCTGTCCAGATTTAACAGAAACATAGTTTTAATGTGAAAGGAAAAAAAAAGAAAGTGAAACACTTTGAAAATTCAACTCCACCCGCTAAGGTATTCATTGATCCTTTAACCACAAAGAAGATTCTAGGTAAAGTTCGAGAAACCAAGAAACATTATCAAGTCAACAAAATCAAGACACAAAACGGATAAATTTGACGCAAGAAATCTCGTAAGAGTAGAGTAACGTGTAATGAAACCTTTAATATTAGAAAAATCTACTGAAAGCTTTAAAATCTTTCAGAAAATATGTGTCGGATATTGTTATAAATATTGTGATCGGGTAACAAATTATTACACTTCTATCTAGTTGCGTGAGATGTCTATGTAACTACATATCCAAATGGTTTAAATCACTGTGATTACAATAAAGCTAATTTGACAGACCTCTGTCCATCATTATTTATCAACAACATAGAAACATATTGTGCGATGTGCATCATGACAAGAATTTTAATTAAACACATGCAAATAACATAAACACTCAAAAAGGATTATCCTTACTCGGTGCCTTTCTGCCTCAGGATCCTGAACTGCTCAGGAGACAAGATCGCACGCCACTCTTCCTCTGGCTTGTTGACTGATCCAGGAGCAGGAGAAGAAGCCATTGATTTGACACGACCACCGTGGAAGCTTCGTTTACAAAGACGGAGCGGAGGAAACGATGAAGGAGAGGCGGAGAGAGGAAGGAGGTTATGATTTGATGGAGAGAGAGTGAAACGAGTGGTTCTTAGGGAGAGAGAAGGTGTGACTAAGGCTTTGATGGTGGAAGCGAAGGTCATCATACTACAAGTGGCTGAAGATGATGATGAGATGACGTTCAGCGCCATTGTTGCTCTCTTTTTTTTTTTAAGTCTTTTTCTTCCGACAGAGCATTTTATGTTTTTAGTTTTGTCTGGAATCTTCAGTTAATATGGGCTTGTTTTAGAAAGCCCATAAGCCCAATCTCTACTCATGATTTTTTTTTTCTGTCCAATCATGCTTAAAACCAGAGTTTAAGAGGTGTATGAGATGGACAGATGTCCTTTTTGATGTTTTAAGAAAACTTCCTAAATTTGATTATAAGTGTATTATTTTTGTGTTTAAATATTTTTTATAAGTGATAACCAATCAAAATTCAATAAAAACAATTATTTTTTTTTGAAATCTATTATTTATCATTATTATTTGCATTGAAAATGTAAAAAAATTGATCTTTTTGAAAAAAAATTCTATAATATGGATCAATTTGAAACTGAGGGAGTATATATATATATGCAAATGATAACTTATGTAATAAAGTTGAGCTGGATGATGCCTGTTTTAAAGCTCAACTAGTTGCACAACGAACTAGACATCACGCCTTCATCTACATGCTTTTATCACTCATTGTTCTGACTCAATTGAGGTATTTGCACTCTTCTTGTTGACTTTTTATAAAGTCTAATGAACTCTCCAGTCTCGGCAGCTGACCTATGACTATTCTTTTGTAGCGTAGGGTATAGCTCTTGATGTAGCTGACAATATGCCTGAAGCATGCCATGTACACTCTGTAATCACTGTTAAGCTTCAAATAGGTAAAAGAATAATAAAATTGGAGGTTGGGTTTGTTCTTCCTCCCAATCTTTTCCAAGAATGACTTTATTAGATCTCTTCTACAAGCTTGGACCATTGGTTCACCAACATCATCTTAGGCCTCAATTGTTTCAAAAGAAGGTTCCGCTTTCGCGTTTGCATGACCAATTTCAACCTTCTCATGTAACCATTTTTTTTCCTTTTCTTTTGAAGGCATAATAAACTTAGGATTTGGATTAATATGTAAACAGTGCATAACGTTTTAAGTAAGTACTAAGAAAAATACGAGAGATCAGACTTTTGAAGCAAAGGAAGAAACAAAAGCAACTATTTTTAAGCAGCTCTTGCAAGAACTTGAAGACTTTCAGGAACATCAGAAGGATCAATGAAGAAACTCCTCCTTCTCAGAACCACCTTTGGTACAATCACAGTCAACACACCGTCTTCATAACCAGCTGATATTCCGGTTATATCTATCGATTCTGGTAACCGGAATTTCCTCTTAAAACTCCTTACCGGTGGGTCCGGTGATCTATCCGTGGTCTCCGTGCGTATGATTAAGTATATGGAATCTTCTATCTCCACTTTTATCTCTTCTTTCCTTAAACCTGATTCAAGAATTTTAAAACACACGAACACATGTACAAGAAAATGAAAAGTCTCCAAGATTTTCATTACAAATGTGTGGTAATGAACATGCACATACTGTTGGGTTAGTTAGATAAGTTATATTACCAGGAAGATCAACAGAGAAAATGTGAGAATCTGGAGTCTGAGACCAACGAATATGATTCTCTTGAGAAGATAAAACATATTCCCATGGTGTTACTTGAATCCTCTGAAAATCCATTTTTTTATCTGTTTTGTTCTTGTGGATTGGTTGATTTTGGATTGGTTTGTATTTATAGTAAGTAGACAGATGCCAACCACTTGAACCACTTGAGCAACTTGTTTGTCTTACCTTGACAAAGTTGATCACAAAAAGAAACAAAATAAACACTCTAAAAATCAATATGATTTATGTAAAAAGGTATATTAATTTGAAAATTAAACAGCAACCTTGTCGACTGAAGAGTAGTGGGGGGGGACGTGGGGCCTTGTTCTTAATGCACTCTCTAAAAAGAAATACTTGCTAAAAATGCTTTGTTCTTTGAGATCTGATGGAAGAGAGTTTGTCTGGATGATAAAAAGTATTGTCACTCACATAACTGACCACTAAAAGGATCTTACAAGTACCTATTAACTCATTTTATTTTCTTTCTACTTTTACTTACTTTCACTGTCAATAATAAAAAAGAGCTAGAACAAATATTTCCAACCACTCATCAGTTGCTTGCAAGTTGCAGATATATATACATCACTCGATATTGTAGAGAATAATAAAACTATTTTTCATTTTTGACCAAAAAAAAAACTGTTTTTAATTAATTTTTCAAAGAGGAAAATTTGCGGGAGGGTAAGAAAAAAAGAGACAAATTACAGGACCCATGTTAGCGTAAATATTACTCAAACCAACCCTCAATGTAAGCGATTAATTACATAAATGCCACTAGTCTCGGACACGAAACATTGGAAGGGTTTATCAAAGGGTTTGTTCTTCACACTCTTCCAATGAATCATCTTCTCCACAATTAGGTTTAGGTTTTAGATCCTCGTACACTTGATTTTCGTTTTCAACAGTGTCTATCTGAAGAAATGGGTTTAAAAAAAGCAAAACACAAACTAAGCGCAATATTCCGCGTAGCGATGAGAAACGCCGGTAAAAAACCTCCAGACGCCGCCGAAACCGCCGAAATCGTCGCCGGAGAGTCTCTTGAGATGAGTTTTATTGATCAAGGTACCTCCTTTTTCTAATCTCCGATTTAAAAACCTCTTCTTTATGAATAAAAACCTCTTCTTTATAGGATTAGCATCATGGGGTTCATTTCCGGACATTCTATTACCGCTCAAGTCTTTCATGGATCCGTCCAACACTGGACAGCAAGGTAACCCTCTAGTGAATGTTCTGTAATGATCTATTTCATAATTTGTTACATTATAAAAAAAATCGTTTAGAAACTGTATGACCGATTTATCCAAAACTTGACAACAAGGTAACCCTCTAGTGAATGTTCTGTAATGATCCATTTGACATTTTGTTTCATCATAAAAAAATTCGATTAGAAACTGTATTGACCGATTTATCCAAAACTTGGCAACAAGGTAACCTATAGTGATGTTCTGTAATAATCAATTTCATAATTTGTTTAAGCATCAATGTCTTTTTGTAGATTCTGAGGGAACGTCACTGGCGGGTATAGTCTCGACTGGCTTTGGTGGTGTGTACTCTTCTCTTGTCTTTTGGTTGTTTATGAGTTAATGTATGTTACTGAATGATTGTTTCAGTTAAATATAGGGAAAGAAATAACGATAAAGCTTATTCCAAGAAGAAGACATTGGAGTTGTCTGCTTTCCTATCTGGGAAACTCCCTCCATCGACAAAGAAACAACACGTGGCGCGTGGGAGGTTGCAGTTCGAGACTTTCAAGAAAAACCAGTCACAGCTTATGAAGAAGCTTTCAAAAGGGTGTGCTCGGAAGCTGGGAGAAGAGACTACCTTTGAGGTGTTGTTTAAAATGGGGAAAGAAGCGGGTGAGAGAGAGTACAACGCGAGGATTCAGCTTTGTGTAGAGAATGCGAGGAGAAGTAATGATGCTGAGTATGTTCTTGATCAAGTTGGGAAAGCTATTGAGTATCTGAAAGAGATGAGACAAGGAGGGTTTTCTATAAAGGAAGGGACTTATGGGCCGTTTTTTAGGTATTTGGTTGATATGGAGATGGTGGAGGAGTTCCAGATTTTTAAAGAGTTCATTAGGGAGGCTAGTCCTGAGTCTATTGAGAAGATTGTCTACTATGAGATGCTTCTTTGGATCCAAGTCAATGATAAGGAGAAGATCCACGAGCTTTGTAATACAGTTGACGATAGTGGGAGGATAACTTTATCAACCCTACAAGGTAAGCCATATGCAGTGTTATTACGACTATTTTTGAACTCTGGTATTTCTTGCTTTACTCTGAAAGTGATTTTTTTTTTGGGTATTGGTAAACAGAATATCATTTGGTTGCACTGTGTGAGAAAGACAGAAAGGAAGATCTTCAGAAGCTTTTAGAGATAGTCGACATAACAAAAGTTTCTTCACCGGAAGTATTGAAAAGCGTATTTGAATACCTTGGAAATTCACTATTGGAGTCTGTTGCAAGGAAATTACTTTGGGAACTAAGAGACTCTGGTAAATGTGGATATAAATTTAATTAAAATATAAATGTATTGGTATTTTTGTTTTGAAGGTGGATGCATAGTCATTGAGGTCAATTCATTTCATGGAAACCAAAACATTTTACTCGCTTGTTGACTCATTATATACTTATAGCAACATGTTAAATCTCTTGCTAGCATTGTAACATGGTTTCTTAACGTTTCCAGGTGAAGTGGAGACAGTTTCAAATCTCATATTTAGCTATGCATCCTGCATCGCAGTCACCACGGTGAGGTCTTTTCTTTCTTTTGTTTCTAGTATACTTGCATCTGGTCTACTACTATGGCGATTTTTGTTGATTGACAATGTTTGTGCACTTAAGTCTGCTTACCAAATATTCTATATATATCCTTGATCCATTGAAATATTCTAGCTAAATATTATCTTTCTCAATTTATCTTAGTAATTGATTTCTTAACTAGTGCTGACCACATACACATGAAATTTACAATCCTGATAGGTCTGGAGATTGTTAAGTCTCAGATTTACTAATTTAGCCTGTGTTCTTGATATCCAATATTAGTGTTGAATATCTATGCCATTTTTCAATGTAAAATTAAGTGAGTAACTTAATAACTTCTCATAATTATTGGTTGGAAATTGTAGCAGACTCCATATACAGTATTTGAGATAAAATTTACTCACTCTCTCAAGTAGCACTAAGTCGTTAAAGGTTCTTTTTATGATAGCCTATGGCTCCTAACCGTCCATGTTCTTACATATTTTGGTGGCTAAAGGTAGAGGATGCCATATTGAAGTTTAACAAGTTGCATGAAGAACTAGATATTGTGCCTTCATCTACATCTTATGAAAAGCTCGTTGGTTATCTTTGTGGCTCGAGTGAGGTAATGTATTTGTACGTTTCTTTTAATTACAACTTCCAATTTTGATACCCTTCATAGTTGACTAATGCTAAGTTCTCTGTGTCATAGGTGGCCACAGCTCTTGATGTAGTTGAAAATATGTGTGAAGCAGGTCTCGAAATATCGGAAAACATCCTACATTCATTATTAGATGCCATTGCTCAGATTCTTGAGTTTGATTTGGTACCGACCTCCTTTCTCTTGAAGCATGTTCCTTGGGTTTTGTTTCAATATTTTTGTATACCTGCTTCATCACCTTCTCTACATCCAATAGAACAACTAATTAGGCTGGTCAGTGATATGCTCTTGAGAGATCACCAACATATCTTTCTCATACTCATGTTCGCAGGTACAAAGAATCCATTCAATATTGAGCAACAAGTGTGTCAAGCCAAGTAGTGAGACTTTCAGGAGATCGATCAATTTGTGCATAAGAATCAAAGATGTAACTTGGTTTCTAACTTTATCAGCTTCAGTTGGCTATCCCTCGTGAACTTTATTTGATAATAGACGCTAGAAAATGAATATGATATCTGTTTTGCTAAACCTCGGTTTTATGCAGTTTGAAGGCGCATATAATATGCTTGGTAATTTGAAGAATTTTAATTTGGCTCCGAACTCTAGCATGTACAATTCTATTATGGCAGGATATTTTCGAGAGGTAATAATACCCTATGCTCTCTTTTCAATCATTCTCCTTTGTCTCACCTATTAAAGTCTCCACTAACTATCGCCTTAGCGTTATCAATAGCATGTCTTGTATATAGTTTCCATTGTACTTAATGTATTCTTGTTAGAGGTAGCTATTCTATAACATTTGATATATCTTAAGACCATGACTTTTGTCTCTGAAATCATTTGCAAACTCTAGACCTACTGTGTGCTCCGTATTGTCTCATGAGTCTTTTCTGACTGAGGTTTCTGTATGGTTTTGAAGAAAAATGTGGATAAGGCCTTAATGGTACTCAAGGAAATGAAAGAAGCTGAAATTAAACCTGATTCTGTGACGTTTAGCTATTTAATAAACTATTGCGACCAGGACGAGGCTATTGCGGAGGTAATCAAATTATACCTGATACATACATATAAAGTGCTGAAGGATGAGGAAAATATAGATAATCTGTTTCTTTTTTTTATTCTTGTTCAAAGTATTATAAGGAGATGAAGCAAGCAGGAGTTCAAGCTAGTAAGCACATATACATGTCCCTTATAAAAGCATATGCATCTTGCAGACAGTTTGAGAAGGCAAAACAGGTAGACATACGCACTATATGTTCTTTTAAAAGTTACCAAATGATTATAATCATGAATTACTGTAAGAGTGCAAGCTTTGTTTTCACATTAGGTGCTCATGGACCAAGAAGTACCGACTAAGGATCACAATGAGCTGAAAAGTGTTCTTATACATGCTCTGGCGTCAAATGGAAATATAACAGATGCCTTAAGTATTTATGAAGAAATGAAGGAAGCTGGTTGCTTCGTTGATCCAAAATCTATTATAACTCTTATAGTAAGTTTATAATTTAATCATAAGTTAGCAGAGTAATAGCGAACTAGAGATATCATTACGTATTGCAATGACCTCAAATTATTTTTCTGTAGGATCACGTTGATTCAAACGAAGAGTTGACAACGTTGGCTCAACTCGCTCATGAGCTGCATGATTCTAAATATTGGATAGATGGTTTCTTTAAAATTGTTGTGTTTGCTATCCGCAACAATAAGTCGAGGTGCAGTGGATTATGCTTGCTCTATTTTTCTTTGTAGTTCCATCATTTGTACTATCGTATGCTTAATCCAAAGTTTTTTTTTTGTGTAGCTCTATTCTTGATTTGTTGAAGGAGGAGAAAAATGACTTGTCCAAGGATGACATCGCTGTGGAATATTGGTTGGAAGAGGTCCGAATCTATTTCTCTCATACGTTTTATAGAAACTTTGCAAGCTCTTATAGAAACTATGCATCTTATTGTTGAAACCAGGTGTTTAGGTCAATAGCAGAAACAGAGCCTAGTGATGTGAAGCTAGGGCTGGAGTTGTTGAGCTTTATGAAGGAAGAGCTTGGGTTATGCCCTTCAAGAAAATGTCTAGATTTTCTTCTACATGCTTGTGTCAATGCCAAGGATAAGGAGACCGCTCTAGTGGTATGGAAAGAGTACCAATTTGCTGAACTCCCTTACAATGTTCTCAACTATCTAAGGCAAGTGCTCCTTTATCTCTTCTTATAATAAACCCTTCTCCATTTCGAATACCACTCGTGTCTAAGAGAGTGGTTTTAGTTTTAGTAGAAATTTTCTTTTGGTAAAAGAGTAATGAGTTCTTGGTTTTATGGTTTTACAGGATGTATCAGGTGCTAGTGGCTGCAGGAGATTCAAAAAATGCAAAGGAAATAGAATCCAAGATTCCTAATGATGATAGAGATGTCAGATGTATAATCAAAGAAAGCCGTGTTGTATTTACCCCAAAATCAAAAAGGAAAATGCCGAAAAAGAAACGATTATCTTGCCAAGCAAAGTAGGATCATCAAATAGAGCCCCCAATTGTATGAGATGTTGTACAGAAAGAAACACAATTTGCCACTAGAATGGCTGAGGTTTTTTAATGCCAACGCTAATTGCAACATTTACTGTTTTTATGTATTCACCCCGAGGATGAAGCCGTTACTGTAACAGGGAAGGTTGCTGGACTCTGCACAAGTCCTCACAGGTGAGCGAAAAGGGTTAGGAGCAACCGGGTGAGAGATATTACGCAAAACCGCCTTTGCATTGCCGCAAGCATCTTCTGTCATATCAGTGAAGAAACCAGGGATGCGCAGATTGTTCACTACCTCAACTGCTCCTGACCAGCTTGAGTACTTGTCCAGTTCACAGTTCAAGGCTACAACGATGTCTGGTGATGCCAGGTACGTTACCTCCTCTTGGTACAAGCCTTTCACAAAGCTCACCTTGACTCTGCTGTTATTTGTTGTAGCCGAGGTGGTTGCAGATAAGTCAAATGGAACTTCAGGTCCAACCATTATGATTTGAACGGTTCCTATACCGTTAAGTAAGTGATTGATCTCTTCAAACGCTTTAAGCCAGTCAAGTTCTCGTTCTGGACCTAAGTAATGAACAGTCACTTCTTTCCCTTTGAGCAACAAGTTCTTGGAATGGGTGCTTAGTGTTGTTAATATGTGGTAAAGCGTTAAAGGGTATGAGAGAATGTCAGAAACAGGGCTTGATGGTGGTAAACACCTAACATCATAGTAATCTGACCAATCTGACAAGAGGATCATACCCGGTGAACGCCCGTTCAGATTCTTAACCGGTAAATCCTGTGGATAATCACCGTCCTGAAGCCCTCCCCATGATTCAGCATCTGAGGAAGAGCCATGTAAGAGCCCAAAAGGACGCTGAGAATAACAACCACATTGTCTTCTCCACATTCCCTTTTTGTGGACACCCAAAGATACAAGCCATTCACATGAGTTTTCAGCATGACAGGAGAAAGTGAAGATCTTCATCTTAAGCTCTTCTTCTCTACTCATCATAGCTTCGTAGAGATTACAAACACTCCGGTGCATCTCTCGCCAGTGCCGTTTCTCACATTCTGAACCACAGTAGATGGTTGCACGGCAATGACTACAACAAACAGACTCATCTCTGTGAACAGATTTGTCACACATTGTGCACTTTCTTAAACCAGCTTCTGCACCTTGACCAACACCTGAAACTAGTTCCAGTTCATCATCATTGTCTGCCTTCACCGCAGTTTTATTCAACTTCTGCTCATATGATTGACCAGGCGGATGCGAAACCGTGACAGCAACAAAGTCATGTCCTATAAACATCTCTGGTGGCCACTGAACATCAACAGTCTCTATAAAAGGCGAAAACTTAATCATCCTTGGCAATCCTTTGACTTGTTTCTCCTCTTGAAGCAGCAAAGGATGAACCAAAGAAAGAGCTTTCATTACAGCAAACACAAGCCTAAGCTCTTCAAGTGTTGGGTTTCTGAACTGGAGCTCACCAGATGTCATGAACCGGGCAACATCGATAACCGGAAACCGATCATTTCCAGATGCTTCTAAAGACAACGACTTAACCATTCTCTTGTTACAAGGAAGCATAAGTGACTCAAGCTCATAAGTAACCCTTAAAACCTCAACGTTAGGAACTCTAGCCATTTCCCATGGGTCATCATCATCAGTCATCTTCAGTGCATAGCTCATTGATCTATACATATAGATTGCTATATCACCACCATCTCCTCCTATGAACTGAACACACTGAAAAGGCTGTCTCTTTCCTGACCAATCAGAGTCTTTTCCAACACGAACACCAAACAAATGACCTGGTCTGAGCCTCTTCCATGGCTCACTTCTGTATAAAGAAGCTGAAGCTCTGAAAATGGAATGGATAATGTTGGGAGATATACCTTCAAGATTCATCAGGCAAACACCTGATCCAGGTCCAAGACCTGGACCTGACCCGAACTGATCCTGGAATCTACCAAATAAGTTCTTCAAATGCAAATCCATTCTTCAAACGTTTCTTGAAAAGAGTAGTTAGATCTGAGTGAAGAAGGAGCTCTGTTCAAAAGAGTTGTTCAGTTCCGAAAAGCAAAAGCAGAGAAAAACAAAACTTCAGATGAATTTGAATTCTAGAAGAAAGCAAACTATGGTTTTGTGCAGTTAAAACGGTCATGCCTCAACCGACAAAACAAACGTAAAAAGCAGTATCTATGCATATTTTAAAATTTTAAGATAAGAGATGTTATACCACAGAATGTTTCTACAATAAAGTGTATGCTTAATGATCAATTGACATCTGATGCTATTTCATCAAAATTCTTTTTAGAGAGTAATGACTTTACAGCCGACAACTATATTTGCACCATCCCACATTGTTTTCATTTATATGCTAAATCTTTTTATGTTAATTTTTTTTTTCAATTAGTTTGTGCATAATTGTTTTTAAATCATTTTTCTGGAAGTTAAAAACTATACCTGCTAATGTCTGCTAATGTAGAAGTATTAATGGTCACTTTATCCTAAAATGCTTGTGGTATCCTTGTAAGAATAATTAAAAAGAAACAACACATACTTGAATAACCAGAAGAAACAGTTTTACAACAAACACTGAACACAAATGTTTTAAACGAGCAACTGAACACAAGAGAAGACAGAAAATGCAATGGAGAGTTTTGAAAATATAAAATAACCGAACGGTATTCATTTTATTAACTACTGAACTGATGATGGAGCTGCTTCTTCCTCCATGGCACAGTCAACCTTCTTGCCTTCTCCTTCAAACAAGTTCGCTATGAAGCCACTCTTGGACACAGAGGTTTTAGCATCTGTCTCACTTTTGTCATCTCCACTCACTATCATCTTGTTACCAAGCTCTAGCCTAAGCTCCTGCGGCACTTTCTCTACCGGACCAACAAGTTCCTTAATACCAATCTGACTCTCACCAGGAGGTTTCTGTTGCTCTGTAGTCTCTTTCTGCGCCAAGACAAGACTCTGTTGAGGTGTCACCACCGTTGTCTCTGGAGTTGGAAAAAACTCCAGCAAAGGAGTCGCAGTTTCTCCTTCTTCCATGACTCCATCTTTATCCTCCACCACAGGTTCCTTAGGTTCTTCTCCGTTGCTCTGATGTGGCACAAGAGACAACGCTCCAGCAGATTCAGAGATCTCCACATCTCTCATTGTTTGATCATTTTGGTTCTTGGTGTCATCTTTTGAGAACATTTTAACATGAGGAGCCACGTCGTTCTCAGGAGTAACCGGAGTGACTTTCCCAGGCATGAACACGAGACCTCTCAGTTTTGTGTCACTGTCTTTCACCGTGACGTTGAGGATGTACCCTGCGTCGAAAGATCCAGCTACCACGCCAGAAACCGTCTTACCAACAAGGTTAACGTTTTCTTGTTGAGTTGTGGTTTCATCTTTGCGAGGACGACCTCTCTTTCGCTTCGCCAAGAGATCATTAGCAACAGGAGGTGGTGAGCTTGTGGTGGCTAAATTCAACGGATTCATTCTGCAGAGAACAACAAGAAAAAAAAATATAGAACAAACACTTAAGTTTTATTGCACAAAGACAAGTATGGATTATTACATGGGAAATCTACAAAACATTCTATAGGATTTTCATACTGATTTAATCTAATTGTTCTATATTTATTATGGAACTGATTTAAGATCATATCCACAATATGGTTAAAACGTGAGGATCAATAGATCCATGCACTCTCCTAATCAGGATAAAAATGTAACAAAAAAGAAATGAAGATTAATATCACTAAACAGAGAAACTTATAAAGAAAAAAAAAAACAGATCGTCTTTGTATGATATTAAGCAATAGAATACCAGAAAATTTTGGTTCCAAAAATGCTGATAGTAAATTGAAATATTTTCTTTCAAGCTTTGCTCTCTTGTGGTTTCTGTGATGTTTGATTTCTTACCTTCTCCTTCCGATTTATAAGCAACTTATTATGGACTTGTAATAGGCTTTTTCATTAGTATTGACAGGCTGGCAAAATTATGAATGCAAAATTTATAAAATAATACCAAAAGTATGACTAGAAAACATTAACAACTTTACAATATCACAAATTTATTATTTCTTTGACTAAATATTAACATAAACTTGGTTTATCTCATTATCTAAACACTTTATTTTTAATTTTTTGACTTTTAGTATTTTTAATTTTATTATTTAAACTAAAACTGAAGGGCCTAATTAATTCTCTTATTGATTTTTGACTATACAATAAATTTGATTGAAAATTCAAACTGTAATTTAAGTAATATTTTTAATTAATGTTAAACTTATTCAACTAAAATAATGCCAAAAATATATACTAACTAAAATAATTAACAATTTTACAAATATCACAAATTTATTATGTAAATGTCGACATAAATTTGGGTTATCTCATTACCAAAACGTTATTTTGAGTTTTTGACTTTTATTAGTTTTAATCTTATTACTTAAATTAGAAACAGAAAAGCAAATAAATCTCTCAATACTTTTAACTGTACGATAATTTTGATTAAAACATTCAAACTGTAATTTAAGTAATATTTTTAATTAATGTTAAATTTATTCAACTAAAATAATTCCAAAATATATATTGACTAGAAAAACTACCAACTTTACAAATATCACAAATTTATTATTTATTTACCCAAACATCGACATAGATTTGATTTATTTCATTACCAAAACGCTACTTGAATTGAAAACGGAAAAGCCAATTAAATTTCTCATTAATTTTACTAGATGATAAATTTGTTATATATTGAACTAAAAAAATTAATTGATTATTCATAATTATTTTAAGTAATATTTTTGAATGAATGTAAAATTTATTCAACCAATGAGATAAAAACATAAGTAAAAAAATTTACAACCAACATGAGTCATTTTGTGGCAAACCAAGCTTCCATTGGTCCATCATATGAGTGATCTTCTATTGCTTTTATGGAAGATATTCTATTACAAACTTGTTTGTTCACATCTTGAATCGTCGGTGGAAAAGGCCAGATGCAAATTGCCTGAAAAACACAATGCAGAAGAAACAATTGATTTTTTCTCCCAAGATTGATCGTTGAGAAATGAAGTACTTCAGACCATGTGGTGGTATAGTACGATGAGTTAGCCCCCTTCCACACTTCCTCCGAGCATAGACACTGAACATATAGGTGGTTACTTGATTCAGTAGGTGCATTAATAATGCATCATTACATAGAGGACATGAGCTGAACATGTTCCAATGAGAAGTCTTTTCTCTCGTTGAAAGCTGATCATGTATTGCAAGCCAAACCATAGATGAATGCTTTGGAGTATTGCAAGTGAACCAAGCTCCTTAAATAACACCATCTCTCTTACACTTCATTTTTTCCTATTCTATATGATAAACAATAAAACTGAAAAGGATAATGACAAATCACTACGTTTACCTTAGAGCATTTTTCTCCTCACCCAAAATCAGAAACTTACACCAGTTTGTTTTCGTAACCGTTTGAACTTTATCACATAAAAAAACTAACTTTAAAGTATAAGACAGAAGTAGTGAAAAGACAGTGTTTAAACATGGAAACGGTCCAAAATTAGCTCCTTGACATTGTCACCAAAAACTGGTCAAAATGAAGCTGACGTTTATAGAAAAAAATACAACAGCGAGTGTATCTCTCTATCACCTCTGTCTAGTAATGCATACCCAGTTTCTTAAAGACTCCTCACCGTCTTGGCACGTGATCGGAACGTGCCATGAACCTTTCTCCGATTCCTGACCATAAACAGAGATTCGTCAGGTCTCTCAACAACATCAAGAACCCATTTTCATACAGAACAACAACAAAAAAAAAATTCTGACTAGAGATTGTAAGAACCAACCTGGATCAGAACCGAGAAAGGAGGTGGCATTTCAAGCTTCAGACTTCCTTTCACAAATGTATACCGAACCTGAACCAAATCATAAACCGAAACTTACATTTTCAACACCGGTTTAATGTCTAGAAACCATACTTCAAACAGGATAGAAAATTCTATAGTTACCTGATGCCTCAGTTTCCATTTTTGAAAAAAACTAGTACTTAATAGTTCAAAAATGTGATCTCTCATCTCATCATTAGTCACAAGCAAGCACTTGAATTTAGCAGCAGCATAGAGCCAATACCTGTAACAAATTATAAATGAGAATCAAACATTGAGTAAACCAAAGGTTGAGTAAAAGAATCTTAAGCCAAGTACATACCAATCATCATTAGAACCAGGTGGAGTCGTGTATAGGACATTGTTTTTAATCCACTCTTCCACCACATTCCGATGATTTGGGTTGCCTAAAAGTGCATTAACCCGTTTCTTGTGCAAGAGAATCAGCGGCCACTTTTTGTTGCCACTTTTATTGTAAAGCTCCTTCACTACAGCTTCAAGCTGCTTTTTTTTGCACCATCATGCATTGTGTCAGCACTCACCTGAATGTATTAAATAAAAAATATGCAAAGGAAGAAAATCTGATGAGACCTGTGGTAGACTGAAACCACCATCAACAAAATTTTGTTGGTAGAGGCCAATGTTTGCTCCATCAAGTATAGCTTCATAATTTCCATGCTTTTCAAGCCACTCCTGCCAAATGGTTAACACAAAATTAACATTGAGTGTTCAAGATAAGTACCATCTTCTTGTTCAATAAGATCTCTGTTTCAATAGTTTTTCTCTAACCTGAAACTCGCTGAAGTCCTCCATTGGCTCACATGAGTTCATCTTCGCCTTCCTTTCCACAGCCAAAGCCACCAAAGAATTTACAAAATTCTCAGTCTCTACCTCATTGGTATCTACACAAGCCAAATGCTCACCACAGCTCAAACATTCTCCACCACCGCTAACATTACCTTTCTTCACAATCCATTTACCTTCCCCAACCCAACCAAGACCATGCCACCCACCCCCATTCTTCAAAACAGCTGCTCTACGCAACTCAATATCAGAACCAACCCCACTATCTCCAACCTCGCTAGCTTTCTCACTACAGAACCATTCCTCAATAACTTTTGAAGTTTCTTCACTAACAAAGCCAACACATTCCCTTAACTTATGCAAATAACTATAAACTTTCTTCTCTCTTCCCGTGGCAGCGCTTACCTTCAGCAAAGCAGAGATCTCCACCTCCTCCAACGAGACACCCGAAGCATCCATGTGCTCTTCAACTTCGTAACCCTTTTCAGCTTCCAATCTCTCACAGAAACAGAGCAAAGCCGGAGAATAAGTCCTCAGACGTGGGACTGACACGCCGCCAGCAGCAACAATGTCTTTGACAACCTTGAAAGCATAATCACCATCACCCTTGGCAGCAGCAAGTCTAGCCACTGAAGTAACAGATGCCTCATTAGGACTAATCCCGGAACCAACCATACGTTCAAAAATCTGGAAGCCACGGTCAATGGCAAGAGTCTGAAGAGACGGGTCACCAAGTGAAGCAGAGCAGAGGTAAAGAAGTGTCTGAAAATGCTGCTGGCTGAGTCTGACGTCGATGGCTGCATCATAAAGAGCTAACGCAGCTGAGAGGTCTTTGGACTTTGAACATGAATGGAGACTGATAAGGAGGTTCTTTTCTTGGTTGTTGCTTGCCTTCTTCTTCTTGTTTGGCTTTGTAGGACTTTCATCTAGGTAGCGAGAGCGGCGGTGATCAGAGGTGGCCATGGAAGAACACAGGTCAAACTTAGCTCCACAAGACTTCAAAGTTACAAGCTTTGCATTGGTGAAAATGGAAGATGAAACCTTTACCCTGACCAGAATAAAAAGATCTCAGCTTTAAGTGAACAGAGACAAACAAAGTATCAAACTTTACAAATAGACAAACAAAGTATCAACCTTTACACATAAGTATCAATCTTTACACATAGATTTGACCCTAGAGAATCAAAAACAAGGGTTTACGGAACAAGCAGTTGGAGATTCGGTTTCTTAACACTTAGGGCTAGTTCTGATTGGTTTCTAGGGAATCTAGATTAAAACAACTAGGGTTTATCGAACTCTGTACTGCTAAGATTGGCACAAACCTTAGAGAGAGATAAACAGAGAGTTAAGGTTTTGAGATGTAACCACAGGGGATATGTGGAAGCTAACCTGAGAGGAGTGACTCTATAGGGTGAGAGAGTTTGAGAAAGGGAACGAGGAGCGGCGCAGACCAAGGGAGAAGATGGCAGTGAAGTTTTATTTAATTTCATAGTTTTCCGAATTTTGGTATATTAAATCTAAGCTATCATTATTTTTCTGTCGTTCAAACACACCCCAAAAAAAAACTGTTTTTTGGCTTAATACAAAAATATGTGTTTTTTTTAAACTAAAACTATGTGTTTGTTCTTTTCAAAAAAGCTATTATAGTGAATTGAAAAAATGGTTTTGTGTAAGTCAATGTTCAGAAAAAGAAAACTGATTTTGTGTAAAAGTTAAGATGTCTATTAGACTTGTTCAAAACATTTTTTTGTAAACAACCGAAGAACATTGCTTTCATCTGAGCATGTTTGGGTGGTATAAAAAATGAATGTGTGACTTGTTCGTCTTAGCAATAATAAGAGTGTGCAAGTCTAAGAGTTAGGCTCACCAGAAAACGAATATGAACTACATTTACATGCCGTTCTCTACATAAGTGTTATAGACGTTTGTTATAGCAAGGCTTTTGTGTTTTTAGAGCTCCATTAAGTGTAAAAACGCGTGTTGGACTCTCCAAAGGCCATTTGATTTCAAGGTGACATGCATTATTGTCTTGTTGTCTCAAAAACCATCATGAGATAAAATATTACAATTATTTTTTGGACAAAATATTGCAAATTATGATCCTATATAATAACCATACATATGATAAATTACATAATGTTATATGTCAATGATTTATTTTCAAATATCACATGTTAAAAAATATTAAAAAACATACCCGGGATTTTGAATTGATTTCTAAAATTTTAGAAATTTTCCTGAAACTCAAATAAGAAAAATACTATAGATTTCATAATGAACCTGTGTTTTCACATGCATCAAGTAGTTATTTACAAAATTTAGCTATTTAAAAATAACTTACTGAAAATACAGGCAACTTGTACATTAAAATTGGTTTACATCAAGTAGTTAACTGTTTACAGAATTTAGCTTTTCTAATAACCTATTGGAAAACAGTGGCTTTGTCAATTAGAGCTAAATTTTGATTCAAGTCCTACGAAAATATATAGAACTTTTTTATCAATAGACAAATTTGTGTGTTTTGTAATAATAACTATGAGAAATATATGATTAACAGACATACTAGATTTATACCTTTTAATTTCAATTTTAATTAATATAAGAAACTTGCAATTTTAATTTGCTTCGAAATTATTTATCACATAGTTATATATAAACCATGTTGTAATACATGTGCAAGAACCAACTGGAATAATGGATAGTCCACATGTAATGTTCATATAGTCAAACATTATAAAATCCCCACATATAGTTATACACCTATATAATGTACAATGATCTTGATGGTATTACCTTAACTTAGTCCCCACAAAAAGGCAAAGCTTTGGCTCCAAAACAAAAATGGCGATGATGAAGATTCCAAACGAATACGCAAAGCTAGAGAAAGAAGACCCTAGTGAGATGATCCACAGGAGAGCTCAGTTTCTGATCCAAAAGATTCTCAAACAATCCGACACAGAGACATTGAGACGGCAACAGAAGAGAACTATCTTGATCAGAACGTCTTCGTTTAGAGTGGTGGGAATGAGAAAGAAGATTGGGAAGAAGCTTAGGAAGCTAAGGAGGACTTGTGTAATGGCGAATAGATATAGTGATCTTATGCCACGTTTCTTTAAATCTCTTAGGCGTTATTTCTTATGTTCCTCTTCTCGGAACGTCTCTGATCTTCCTCCTCTCTTTGCCATCCACGTTTGAATGTTTTCTTTCAGCACTATATTTTATTTTTCCTATCATATTACATGCATACAGTATACATATTGAATAAAACCTCATCAGTGGTGTATTATCACTTTTTCTTAGGAATCATAACTTTATGAATCGTGTGGATTATTTATAAGTTTACAGACAAAATTATTATCAAATACACGTATAATGATTTTGATTCTCATCATATTACGACATAGTTTAGTATTTTAACCTTGAATATGAGTTATGAACTTTATGGTCCATATAGATTTACTCAATTGTTAGCAAATTCTTAACATTATAGTATGGCTAGTTGTCCATCAAGGTGATGAAATCGATTTTCTGATGTTTTGTAGCGATATGGAACTCATTAAAACTGATGATTAGAAAACTATTAACTTAGAGATTTTCTCGGTTACTCTCGCACATTTTCTAACCATTTTCCTTGAGTCGGAGACCAACCTATTCAGACATATATGTTTGTACTAACCAAGTAATGGCCATGCACTGCTCATTGTTAGTTATAATAAAGAGTCACGAGACAGAAATACATTTGACGTTATGAGAAAAGGAAAATGGTTGAGTGAGATAGTGGAATAAGCTGTAAAACTGTGAACATGATGACCCCGATACATTGAACATTGCCTCTGAATTGTTTAAAGTCGGTGATGCTTTAGTGCTTTACAAACCGTATTTTTCGTCCCGTTGACTAATTTTATTTCTTTGATTGCGTAGAAAGTTGACTATACTAGAGTTTCATTATTTAGTATTTTAGTTAGTACGATCATTAATTAGATCTCTGACCTTCACTGTTGTTATTAATAGTTACACACAAAATTTGTCTTCGGATCCTATTGTGAATAAACTGCATTGTGACAACCTCAACAAAGAATGCAATTTGTAACTGTGCTTGTCTACTAGATTTAGCCATTTAGGTCCGACAGAAAAGGCGATCCACACAATCGCCAAAACAGTTGTCTCCTAGATGGAATATTGTTCTTGCAAATCGCACAGAACTTAGGGAATATTAATGGGAATTATATTTATAATTGATTAGATTTTTCAATTCTAGTGTTATTGGTTTATAGATTTTCACATTCTCACTAAAATCTCATAATTTTATAATTCTATACAATTTTTTTTTTTGTTATTCGTAAAGTTTAGTCTTAACATTTTAACTCTCATACAAAATTTGAAACTATAACATATATCCATTGGATTCTTCAAATAATTATAGTATTTTATTTTTACATATTTTCAGAATATACAAAACTCTTTCCAATTCTTTACAAATTTAACAAATCTTTCAATTTAAAAAAAAAATCAAAAGAACTCTATATAAATTTAACACCCATCTAAGTTTATTGAACCGAATCAGTAAAAAGATTAATCATAAATTTCAAGTAAGATTATATATCAGGCACTGGTTTAGACTTTTGGGATATTTGATGAGATCCTACATCCAAAGTTTTAAAATCAACATTAATATATAAAAAATGATAAAGTTTAATCTATTTAGCGTTAATTGAATTTACATTGAAAGTCATAATAAACTCAAATTTATAGTATATAAATTTTCAAAATAATACACAACAAATGGGAAAATTAAGCTGAAGTCCAATGCAGCATCATGTATTTTATTAGAAGCAGAAAACAAGTTACTGTAGGATTTTCTTACTGCTAGGATTTGTTAGTTCTATAAATCAGCTATATCTGTTTAATGTAATAGAGAAAGAGTATTTGAAGAATCCATAACTCAGGATTTCTATTTGGCATTTGGTAGAACAGAACAAAATATATTTAATCCTAGTCATAAAGATTGCGTGGAAGTATGGTCTGTGGAATTGCATTGATGTTTATGTTAATTGAGTATTAATTACATCAAGATTCCATGATAAATAATTGAATATTGTCGCCAAAATTAATCTCATATAAATTAAAAAAAAAACATTTGACATTAATACATTCATAATATGGTCACCACATGGCGATATTACAGCGATTTGAAAATAAATACACTTATATGTTACATATATATAACTTTTCAGTTAAACTCTACATAAGTGTGTTCACACTATATACTATTTTTACGTTTTTTAATATAAGTCTGACAAGCTAAAATAACAAATAGATGATTTTTCCGTTTAGGTAAGATAATGCGATGTAATCCAATGGTTGGGAAGCTATACATCAAGTAAGTGGCTTAATGAGGATAACTAAACTGATACACCGGAGTTGGCTGTTGGCACAACAAGGGGTGCCTTACTGCGCCAACTCATGGGCTATTAAAATATTGTCAGATATAAGTTATATATAAAGACATTTTGCAAAATATTCTTTAATATCTAAATTTATTTTATTTTTATTTAATTATTTTGTCAACCACTTAATTTTATTTTAAGAATTTTATCTTTTATGTGTTATTTTTAATAAACGTGTCTTTTAATGTTAATTAACAGTATTTTATATATTTATCAACCACCTTTATATATTTTACATACACATACATGTGCACATTAACGTAAACAACTATATAACTACAAGTGAAAATTCTAATTTTTTTATAAGTTGAAATATTCTCTTTTTAATGTTTCATTTCACCATCGACCAAATTATAATGAAATGATTTATTTAATATTTTTTCTATAACTATTATTTAGATTTAATTTATTTTTCGTTGAAACCATTGGTTTGACATCATGATTGACTAAAATTTGTATAACTTGAAACTAAAAAAAATAATAATAGTTTTTGGTTGTCACCAGAAAAAAAAACTCAAACATTTTAACTAAACAAACCAAAATAAATATGAATTTAAAATGGTAATTATATTTTAGTAGATTAAAAACTGAAAAACCAACCTAAAACTGAACTAACAATCAGTTTAAACAGATATAATGTCTTTTTATTTAAAAAATAACAAAAATAATAGAAGTCGTGAATTATTCCCTAATAAACTAATAATACAATTTATAAAAAAAACCTTAAATGGAATGAATAAAGCATCCATCGTTACACAAAAAACATCAATCCATCAGATGGCCAAAATCGTTTCTCCGTAAAAAAAAAATTATACCAAACAAAGGAATTACACCCAATAAAAAAATAGAAATCTGGCGAAATAGTTTAATATTGAAGAGTCTACTTCTTATCGTCCCACATATCCAATCGTTTTTTCGCTTTTTCCACCTGAATCATTGCATAACAATAATCACCTTAACAATTATGACACACAAATCAGAATCAAAATCAAAATTATCACACACTCTCTTTATTTCAAAAATATGTAGTTTTGGAATTTACACATATTAACAAATCTTAAATTTTGATCATAAATAAATTATTTTCTGTGATTAACTATTTTCAATAAATTTTAATCCAATCAAATTCAATACACACAATTAATATATTGAAGTTTATGAATTACCATTAATATCTAATAAAGAATACATATTTTCTTAAAACATTTTTTTATCCAAAACATGATTCATTTTGTAATAGAGGGAGTATGATTTTAAGACCATATGATAGGACTAACACTAACAATTACCTCTTTATCCCAATCTGTTTGATACGTGACGTAAAGTAAGATGAGGGTTTGCATGAGGGTACCTCCAATCATACCGGTCCATATTCCCTATCAACACATTCACATCAAATACCTTGATATGTTATACAGAAAATATTGTTAAGAAAACAAACCTTGGCTTGAAAATCGAAAGTGAACCCTAGAATACAGCCAACAGGAATACCAACAACATAGTAACAACCAATATTCACATATGCCACAAATGTTTGCCATCCACATCCAACGGCCACTCCTGCAAAACAATTACCAAGTCGTGTACTGTTTAGCTCGGTTCGGTTAAAGTAGACTGGTTTGTCCGGGTTAATCTAAAAGTTATTTGCATGTATATACCGCTCAAGACGGGCTGGATTCCATTGAGAATGATGGTGACGGCGAGAAACGGGCAGAGGTCAGAGACTGCTTTAGCCACCTCAGCGTCTGCCGTGAAAATGTAGCTGACGTAATCACGTGACACCATCACCGCCAGTGCCTCCACGACGGAGAACAACAAGGAAACAAAAGTTGTCATCCATGTGGAGAACAACGCCGATTTTGGATTCTCTGCTCCAAGTTCATTACTTGTCCGTACACTGCCATATATATATTTTCAATTTTTTTAATTTACGATTAGTTTCAGTAATGTTGGTTAATGATTCGAACTAACTTTGAAATATAAATACTAACCTTGCAGCCGCATTGAAGCCGACGGAGACCATGAATGTAAATGCTGAAATGGACATACTGTAAAAAAAAGGAAAACAAATGTTAAAGAAATGAAGATTACTTGTTTCCAAGTTTCAGCAATACATATATATGTTATAAAAAGATTCCTTGTAGTGAAACTCTTTTTGTCAATTGTAGTGAAACTCTAATCATTAATAAATAAGTGATCTAAAAAGTAGTCTTTTGTAGTCTCTATCATTTCTTAATTAATAAACAGGTGTATATGTCTCACATCATTAGACAAGAAAGTTTCCATATGTATAAAAAAAATATAGAGTTGTCCTTATCCTTTATTAATAGCAAAATCAAGATAGTAATAATGGGCTTACCAGATTGAGAGAGAATTTAGAGATAGATCAGGATTTGTAAGTAGACCGGCGAGAAGAACCAGAATCTGTGAATACCAAATCTCCAGACAGATCATAATAGCGGAACCAGCAGAGAGTTTAAAGAAACTCCAAAGACCTTGGAACGATCTCCAACTAAGACCAGTCCACGTATGTCTAAATCTTTGACTATTTGTAATATACAAAGTTTGAGCTCCAACTATAACACACCAAGAGATTGTCCGAACATAAGCTACACCCATAAGGCCTAAGCCCATCACGTAAACTGTGATCCACGTTAGCAAGATCTGGAGGAGGAGGGCGGCGGCTGATATGTACGCGCTTGGTCTCACCACGCTTTGGGCCTGAAGAAACTTTTGCGACGTGAAGTTGACAGCGTAAGCGAAAATCTGAGGAATAAGCCCAGCAATGTACAAGGAAGCCAT